CGCCGGGCTATCCGCGGATTTCTAACGACGCGCACACAATATAATATATCGTTACCGGCCCAAGACACCGCCGCCGTCGCCGAGGGGTCGATAGTCCGTCGCCATACCGCCGGTATCGGGTAGCCGATCTCACCCGTAGCCCCCGGCGCACCCTCGCGCGCGTTTCGGTGTAAACGCACGTCCGCCGCTGCCGCCGCCGTCGTCCACTCGTCCGCTCGTCCTCGATCAGGATCGCTACGCGGTGCAGTGTGCCCGCGCATGCGCATGTTTCCATTCTCTTGGTCGCACCGCCTCCTCCGCCACCGAGTCGTTCGGTTTTTTCCCGTCTCAGTGCACTTGTTAATCAACAATAATACCCGAAATTCCCGAACACGTCCGCGCCTTGATTCTCAGACCTTTGTTGCGCACGCAGCGGCCTTGCACTACCGGGTGTGCCGCGGACGCTCGACCGTTCCCGAGACCGCGGTACACCCTGTACACGGTCGGGACATTGCTGCGCGACCGGGGCCGGTGATCTCCACTCGATTATTTGTACCGAGCCACTGCCCATCACCGGCACTACCCATCGTCGTTTTTTTTGTTTTCAACTCCGGGCACTGCCTGATCAACGTTTATCTTGAATGGGACGAAAATATATTCGGCTTGCTTCGAAAGAAGGTTTTTATCACTTGTAACAATTTTGCGATTCGGTACTTAGATAAGAAAATATGTGACAAAACTTTTGATCGAATAACATTTTTACTGGATTCTAAAAACTGACTGAAATCAGTATATTATGTAACGCTTAAGCTCCGCTCAAAATCGTATTTTTTAAAAAATAACGATTTAACATTTCTATCGCACCGCAATACCCACCCACCCACCCACCCGGTTTTAGTCACTAAGCAGCTGTTTCAGCAAGGACCGGAAAGAACCGGTAAGACCGATAAACGAATAAGTTGGTGTTCGATCGAACCGAAAATAACCCTTGGACTGCACCCGTGAACGGTTGTTATATGTAATCTATAAAATTAACTGGCCTCGTACAGAGTGGCCGCGTCGAACGGACACCGATCGCATATGAACGTTTTCGTCGAGGATTCGGAGTGCGAAGTAGATGGCGGACGGGGGTGAGATTCGTGGTCCGGTATCCGGTCGGACCGCTTTATACACCGCGTTCTCCCGGATGCGTCCTGTACACGTTGTACGTTACGCGGTCCGATATCGAATGGGCAGGAACAATACGCACCGATATTACGGTCGCGTTCGACGTTAACACACCCGCACCCTTAAGGCCCCTTCACATGTGGCCACTCAGTAGCGCATCTTAGCAGCGCTGCTCATGGAAAAATATGAACGCACACGGATGGTTTCACACACGTTCACATTAGTCAGTGTTTTTTTTTTTAAGCATTCAATTATAATTTTAATTTTAATTTAAATACTTCATAATATTACACCGTTATAAATAATAATAATGAATAGTTAATAATATGTAATAATAATTATAAAAAAACTACAACTTAAGTATGCATTCCTATAGATCTCTCGCTCGCATTGAATATCGCGTCAACTGCCTGTCCGCCCGCCCACTCAACAGCTCGCAAAATCGTGTTTACCTAGGACACCCCATGAAGGGCCACAGACGGTGTCAGTGGATGACTCCACCACAGAACATCGCATTTAAAAGTCGCGCTTCTAGTAACGGAACGTGTTTTTAGATTAGAGATTTCATACGCGACTGCGATCGCGCAACAATTTTGTAGCTCGTTGGTAGTGCGATTAATCAGCGTAACGAGTTCAATTGTTCTCGTTTTGATTTCAGTTTTTATTGATCAATGATTCGTAGCATCACTGACGCGCTGCTGAGAAACGCTGACGAGTGGCTACGTGCGAAGGGGCTCTATTTCGGCTCGCGGACTGTCGCGTCTACGATCCCCATCCCCCACGGGACGCTCACTGTGTTCTTTCTGTCCTTTATACGTCGCACCGCAATGACACCAGTGGCCGCCGGTAACGATCGCGTAACGGGCAAACGACTCTTCGACCAGTGGCTCCTTTTTTCATTTGTCCACGTGATATTGAAATTCGATTTTCAAGATCCGATGCTCAGAGTTTTTCGTAGGCAGGACCGTAGCAAGGGGCGACTACAGGTGCTTACACCCCGGGCGCAGTTCCTTGGAGGGCGTAAAAATGAAAAAATTTCAATTGAATTGTTACTTATAACTTATTACCTAGAAAAGGAATATTATATATTTATATATTTAATTATATTATTGATAAATATTATTATGCTACATTTATGAATCTACTTATAATTATTATGTATATTTATATTTTAATAGGTTATTAATTGATCTAAATAATATTAAGAAACGCTTACATAATCGTAAGGAAAATTTATTATTTATATTGCGTTTATAGAAAATATTCAATTTTTTGTGAGTTTTTTTTTTAAAAAAACTCATATACTTAAAGTTGCATTTTGAAGTTTCACCACGAGCGCAATATTTGGTTGTTACAGCTCCGTCGATGCGTTTATAACTAACGCGTATGCCCGTGAACGTCTGCGTTCACGTCTTATAGTTTTTCCAGTGCAATGTACGACAATATTCTAAAAATCAGACGGTTATTGCTTTGGACAAGATAACTATTTTTTTTATTCGTTTTTATTATTAATATAACCCGCAGCAACGTTGGTCATCGGGACCACTCGACGTCACATGCTGTCTATGTAAAGAAAATTGAATTGTGGTTGAACTTTGTTCACTTTGTGACTATACATTTTTTCCACGTGTGTATATAGAACAACCACGCAATAAACTCCGATACGGTGAAAATAGAACTAACTGCTTACAATGTGGTTTACTGAATATTTTATTTTGAAGTTCCGCTATTACGAATTCAATGGTAACTACGGTTAAAATTAAATTTTGGCCGATAGATTCCCATAGTTCTACTTGTATACTTACACGCACTTTCGAATGCCCGAAAATAATATCTTTTTATCATGGTATAAGTAGTAAGTAGTATACATTTTCATACGTACTGTATTTGTTCACAAATGTACGTATTCAAATGATTATGACTATATGTGTTAACGTGTTTCAGCACTTATTAATCGAACGTATTTTATTTTGTTATGATATCCGTGAACACGTGGGTTTGTATCCACGTAAGACGCCTAGTTTCAACCGTGGATGGAATGCAGAGTTCGTCATGTTATGTAATACACTGGTGTTGTTGGACGTGGTTCTAAAATGCGCTCGTCGTTATTTAATATTACATTTAAATCTGAAACCGAATTCATATATTAATGTTAAAACAGTGTTCAATCGAATCGTAATATTATCTGAGAAGTTGTAACTCTTGTTCTTTCTTGACGTTTTTTTTTTTTTTTTTAACATTTCGTGGCATGTCGTACGCGCTCCAGTGTAAATTCATTTTTAATGAAACGCACACTCGTAGAGTTTTGACGAATTCGACACTGGCATTAACCTGTCACGCTTATAAAGTAATTAAGCGCATTTTTTCACTACGTCCAGCTATAATTACGTCTTCGGCTCGTCGTTTTAAAGATTTAACTAAATGGAGTGTTTCTTTAAATTTTAGGAATTCAATCAATCATTAAGCCATTACTAATCGTCGCAAACCAATAATAGTATTATATTTTTTATTATAATTTCATTAATTTTAATTGTTACCCGACTTCTGTTAAAATATCTAGTTTTATCGGTGATCCGGCAGTACTATGGTTTACACGTGTGTAAAATTATTAAGGCTCTATTGTACGTCGGTGTAAGTTGATTTCGCCTAATTTGGGCAACTACGCCTCTATTATGTACAGTGGCGTAGCAATCACACGACAAAGCGGGGCAGTACCTCAGAGCCCCAAAACACAGAGGACCTTGGAAAGTTCTGAGACTATACTTCCTTCAAACAATTTAGAATGTTGATAAATTTAATTCCTAATTATGCGTGATAGTTTGATAATATTATAATTTAGTTATTTATTTAAAGAGTACATGTTATGTTATAAAGAACTAGATGGAAAATAATAACAGTAAATGAAAATTATTGAAATAATTAATATTAAAATTAAATAGTATATGCCACTTATTTATTCAAAATCAATTCTAGTTATGATCGAGTATTTAAGTAGAATTATAATTCACGTAATATGCAACATGTTTTTTATAGTATTGAACTGGATTTTCTTTTTACTTTGTATAATTATTAATTATCCGTTAAATATTTTCATTTATCGTCCCATGGTAAGTATTCATATTTAAAAAAACAATATAATGTGTATATTTTGATATAATCAACGCAATAAATTGTTACGCAGTAGAATAGCATCGATTATCTGTATGTCAATTATTCGCACTATGAAATGTATGTACACATTTATTTACAGATTCCGATTTTATTGTTTGTACTATGATATTCGAGATAATTTTAATATAAATTACAGTTCACTTCAATGAAGATAATACGTAATCTTAAATTTAGTTTGTTCATGAATCATATTTTTATTTTGTATTTATTATTTCAAATACATACAAATTATTTAATAATTATCTACCTTTAATAATATATAGGTACATATATTACATTATAACATTAAACATAGGTTCAGTGCATTAGTTTTTTTTTTATTGTGCAAGTATCTAAGCTCATTTTTGATTGTCCGCTCAAATTGATTGTACACCCTCCTCAGTCACAAATATTGCAGTTAATTGATACTCTATTGTACAATTATTTATTACACTCGAATTTCAATAGATGCAATTGATGAAGGTACATATTTTTGTTATCCATATATTTTTATGGTTTTACCTGCTCAGCTGATGATCTTCCTGTATAATCATATAGTTGCTACTATTTTCTCATAAAAATATAATTCATTTCGCTAAACTACCTGGTTAGGTATTACATTACAAATAACAGCTCTTTAATCTTGGCGTCACCCCAAAAACCTTTGATGGCTACCGCATCTCTCTTTCTCTCTGTGGAAAGCAATGGCCGGTGTCGTAAGTACGAGTATATAAGCAACAAAGGTACGGGTCAATGGATTGAAAATGAATGATTTGATCGTAGACTATTATGAATTACTGATTGTTTTAAACGGACTACGAACAATTTCGTAATCACGAATAACGTGCATTTGTTAATATTTATAATACCTAATTATAATAAACATTTCAAATGAAACTCGTACTCGTATTTAAAACAAAGATTAAAATCAGCAAACTAATACTTTGAATATGTTACAAACAAAAATGTTTACACATAGAAAATTCGACGAATCTTTAACGATCTGGCTAAATCAAATCACACCGAATTATATTCAAAACTACACCGGCATACTCAGTGGCGTATTTAGGGAGGGGCCCATAGGGGCCCGGGCCCCCCCCCTTGGCCCGTGTAGTACATATTATAATAGTATAACACAATACTACTCAGTAATCGACACTCGTATTATACTTTAATACTTTATAATGTATGATTAAATAATGATTTGATATGAAAACCAAAATAAAAATAGTAAATTGTTAATTCGCATTATTTTGCAATACCCAGTAAAATATAAATAGCAAAAGATAAAATCGATAATGGATTATCGTATCTAGATTCTAGATTAGACTGTTTCTCTGGAACCGTTCGATACCGCACACGCGTTGCTCAGTTTCAGTTGCTGTTTAATTGCCGATAAAACACAATATAGTGTGATCCTAGTCTAATCGTGTAGTTGTGAATAACGTATTCTTTTACTTGTCAATGCATTGTTTATAAGTTATAACTTAACTATCTACTTGTGTATATATTTTAATATTTGTATAAATTGACAACCGAATTTAAAAATAATATGCAACAAAATAAAAGAACATCGAAGATAACTAATTTTTTTAACTCAACACAAAAAAAAATTAAAACAGAATCTAACGACGTCGTGGATGACGGACAGCAGCAGTCACAGTATGACTCACAGAGACTAATTTCAACGGAAATCAAGAAGGTATTATATTATAAAATAAATAAGCAAGACTGTAGGTATATACGCTATACGTATTGTCGCAATGATACTATTGTGTAGTATTTGAGTAATATGACGTTTAGTTTTTCAAATATTAAAAATCTTAATGTCTCAGAGATTGCGCTAAAGAAATATTAGAGCTGCACATACTTTTTGTTTTACAGAAGTAAAAAAATTTGATCATTATCATATTATAATCATAATATTAATTATGGAATAGCATGGACATAGCAGTTTTAACAAAAATAAAATAATACAAATTATTGTTTTTATTTTAAAAAGTTTAATAATATGACACCACTCATGTATAGAATTATAATAATTATTAAGACACAGTTTTCATCAAATATAAATTTTAAAACTTATAGAAAACCTTGTATTAAATTTTCAATTCTTAGCTATGAATACTAAAAATGTAGGTTTAATTAGTATTGTAATATGTAATACGCTTTTGTTATTATTATTTTATAAATCAGGGCATTTGTATGATATTGCCAATTTTGTGGTCAAACACACTTTACAGTTTTCTGAAATATTTAATTGTTTGAAATTGACTTGGATACCCGACCCAAAGTATGATTTTCCTATACATGCAGAAGGCAAACATAGCAGAAAATTTCAATATAAGTATTTAGAAATATTTCCATGGTTAGCTTATAGTGAGATTAATAAAGGAGCCTATTGCAAATGGTGTGTTGTATTTGCTTTCAGGCGGTGGATCAGGCAACCAGGTATATTACACAGAAAAAAATAACTATTTCCCTTGATTATTTATAAATATAATAATTTTATAATTATTTCTTGTAGTCGTTAAATAATCTAGTAAGAGAGCCGATGACCAAGTATAAGAATGCAATGGCTGATTTAAATGAACATTCTAAAACCAATTATCATATGATCTCTAGTCAAAGGGCAAAAGACTTCTTAAAAAACTATGAAAATGGAGACCAAACAGCGGTAAACGTACTTCTCAGCAATCAAAAAAGCACTGCGAAGATCTTTTTTCGAACATTAAAACACTTTTACAGTTGTTCTCCACACTACCAGTTACTTCTGCCACTCCAGAACGCACGTTTTCTACTCTTAAAAGAATAAAAACTTACCTGAGATCAACAATATCCCAAGAAAGGCTAAATGGTTTGGCTTTAACAAACATTAATAAGGAAGTAAATGTAACTATGGAGGAAATAGCACAAGATTTCATAAAAATCTCCGCCAGGAGAATGCAATTACAAGACTGGTCAAAATAATAAACATTACTTAAATTGTACATGCTTTAATATAAGTACTTCAATTGTCTTAATCTTAATTAAATATAAAATATAATATACTAAAACGTATGATTTTGGCGTTATATCTGGTGGGCCCCTCCCTTGAGAGATTTCTGGCTACACCACTGGGCATACTAATATAAATTTCTTAAAAAATAAAATAAAGCAAAACAGATAATCAATATTTTTAATAAATAAATAACAAAAAATAACAAATTTGAAAATAACTAAATCGAGTTAACATTCTATCAGAGTTATAACGTTAGGTATGAAGAAATATAACGCACTTAATTTATGTATTAATAACAGAAGATTTTACTATATACAATTTGAGTTTCGAAATGATAATTGTTTTCATTCGATTATAGTGTTATATACTAGCGCGTTGTATAAAACTTGTTGCGTCTTGTTTTAAGGGTCAAAAATGTGTTCGTTCTGTATACACTTCACTTATAATGGAGTTTATAGACGGTAAATTTATTATAAACGGATATGTGACGATGACAAAATATAAATGTTATGGACATCGTTTTTTCTCTTGAAAATGTGAAAAGAATTGTCACAAAAAAAGGTCTTGAGATTCCTTATACTGTTTTTGTCATGCTAACGCTACAACGAACCCAAGCAATGTCATTTACAATGTTCACAAAACCCTTTTGTTGTATAACCGTGTTACTGAAACACTCAAGAAAATTATAATAAAAGTACCCAACAATCTCAAATAGGCACAATCGACTCGTGATAATCCATTAAAAACTTTATAAAGGTATAAATGAGTAATGCAGATAAATTAATCATCGTATCTTATAGTACCTAGGTGAAGATAATTAGTTAAAGAAAATCGTTATCAGTTGGACCGACCTTATTAGAAGAAATATTAACATATCTAAGAGCACTGTGGTTTTAAACTTTTAAGCCAGATTCGAAGTAATTAAACTTATTAGTGATAATTTTTATATTACGAACAGGACATTTAAAACCGTTTCAGGCATAATTTTACAAACAAACACATATATAGGCACTCCTGCAGACGGTATTTATTCTAAATTTCTAACCTTTGTTTATATGCTAACGTCGAGTTAGCATATATCTTATTGTACAACATTTTACTAGTAAATTCTAATTTTTGATTTAATACGTTATTTTATTTTATTTTTTTTTTATATAAAATAATTTGTCCGGTCTATCATTCGTTAGCCATGTTGTAAATGTCGTTGTTTACCATTAAAATCAAAATTATATCGAAAAATTACCATTTATATAATTATTGTAAATTAACTTACTCACCGCTATATTATTGGTACTATTTTATTATATGAGGTTTATAATGACATTTATGGCTGAATAAAATGTATAGACAATTAACAAGAAGTGAAGTCAAAAAACGTACCATAATTTAAATTCGTAAGTTGAGTTTGGTATTTAATGAAATGTACGCTGTTTATCGAAACTTGAGCTTTTCAATTGTTCATAATTTGATTATAAGGTTATACATTTTTTACTGAGAATCGTTTTTCGAGATCCATGATATATTAGATTCAAATTTAAAATACCAATGCATTCCTTGTGATATTAATATTTAATCTAAGAAATATCTTTTATCTAAAGTATGTATTTATTTCAATTACTTTTAATTTTTTCGAAATTATTAATTCAAATAAATGTTAAGTATTTGACTATAAATTAGTTTTAAATATTAAATGTTCAACAAATATTATTATTGTTTATATTATGTAGCAGAATATCCAAATTTAAGATTAAGATTATTATTAATATTCGTCGCTAACTCTTAGTAGTTCTTACAGAGTTACGATGGCTCATAGTTAGTTGAGCGCTTATTTTGCTTATTGAGAGTGATAAATTGCTAAACCATGTGTCCTACGGTTTGTAGGATACTGCGTATATTTCTGTTTTGTGTAAATTAATTGCATATGGATTAAAATATAACAGTGACTATTTACTATTCTCATTCTTCCGATTATAACTACAATTAACATATCTTAATAATCGTTTGAATTATTCATTATTATTAAATAAACGTCTATTTATATTTTAACGTGTAGGTTTTCATAAATTACACGAATTTTAAACACACGAAATGTACGTGAATTCCAGATTACACGGTCTCCAAAGCGAAATTTTTAATTTCACGTGTACACATTTAATAAATAACTCTAGTCAAAATATATAATATATATTACATATATACACATATTGTTTGATAAATATCTTTTTGAAATATTCTTTGGTTAAATGTCCACTTAAGGGTGATTTCTTAATTGAAAATTAATGTTTTAGATTCGAAATCACTAAATACTTATCGTGCATCATTATACTGTGTACTATATCGATGTAAAAAAAAGAAAAAACATAAAATATTTGGAAGAATATTACTTCAAGGACTCGACCCGTATGATTGGGGGCCGTAATGTTATGAACGACTCAAGTGTTGATTATTCAACGACGATAATAAGGTGTATACGTTAATAAAACGCGTGTGTCTCACGATTTCAAAAACGGTCTGAGAATGCGGCATAATGGTATATAAATATTAATCAGTGAGAACCGACAGAATACAACGTATTAATAATATTTGAAAAAAAAACCATATATACGAGTATATGTATATATTTATCATACACTTAGGCATACTCGGGAAAAAAAAAAGGTTACCGCGTCGAGATCGTAAACGATAAACGCGTTATAAGAATTAAGAAGTTGTTTACAGGTTCGAGAAATTCCTTAGTCCTTTCACGGACCGATTTCTTTTATTCGACAGCGCGGCCGGGGCAGGTTCCCGCAGTAGTTTTGTACCGAGTACATGGACAACAGGCACGACGAGTTTTCCCGCGCGACACAAATCTTTCTTATTTTATTTCATGTCATCTCGAATAGGGTGGGTTTTATTTATCTTTTTCGTTCCATTTATGTACGGTATATGTATAATATTATACGTTTTCGGTATAATGGCGCCGACCCGAACGTTTTTATTGCTGCACCGATCCTTCCAGCTGTTATGCAGCGCAGTACGACTGTGGGACGTGTATACGTTTATAGAGTGAGCGGTGGAACGATGGACAGAGACAGGAGTGAGAGGAGTGCACGTATACACAAGACGTACATTCATATGTGCCGTGGATAACACTGTGCAGGATGCGTCGTTGTCGTAAAACGTTTTTAGTCAGTCGGAGCCGGTTACTTTTACCTCCGAAAACTAATCTACATATTATATAATATGTACCTGTAGTACGTGCGCGTGTGTTGTGTATACGTAAGTGTGCGATGACTGCGTGTGCGTGAGAACGCGATGATTAATCGGTAACACCAACGGGCAGAGGAATAAAAAAATAAAATAAATATAATAAATATTTTTGTACAGGTACTCTGATGTAAAATAACGTGTGCCTACAGTAATCGTTCCACACCATTTCGGACGGGCACAGTTAAAATAATAATAACAACAGTAATAATTGAGAATTTTTTTTGTTCTTTATCAATTGAACCGAGTTTACGTACATCTCCGGATAAAAGTAATCATGTCGTTTGTAAGGTATTGTCCAGAAGATTATCTGAAAACAAATATTACGCTTTTTGCCGTTGCAGCGGGAGTTATAAGTATGGTCACCAGATGTACTTATTTTATAAGGACAGTACTTCTTTTTGAAGACATGTCCTATTGTCCTAAATAAATGGCTGGAGTACACCAAAAAGTACTTATCTTAAATTATGTACCGATTCTAAATGGAAATTTGTTTTAACGTCGCCTAATTATTAAATTCGTAAAATTATCGCTGTAGGAAAATGTAATGCATCCTTATCAGTGTCTTACAAATCTTGACAAATCAACAAATATTGGTGTTCTGAAAAATCCCAACTAGAAATTTCTTTATTAAAATCAGTAATGTAGGTTTATACAAACTTTGATGAAACATGTCATGAAATGTTTAATATGTTGAAAACAGATCAAAAGTTACTTAAAGAAATACATGGATCTCAAAAATATTTAAAATATTAATATTTGTTCCTTTGATAAATTAGTTGTTTGTTAAATTTAATACATTTTATATCTTATTAATTAAGTTAAATTTTTTGGTTAAAATATGATAATATGTCAAAAATGCTAAAGTTTTTGAAATTTTTTTTAATGACCAAACGTGTTATGAAATGTTTAAAAAGATGAAAACAGATAAAATGTGCTTAGAGAAATACATATATCTCAAAAATATTTAAAATATTAACATTTGTTCATTTTAAAAGTTAGTTTGTTTAATATAATAAATTTTACTTTTTATTAAGAAAGTAAGTTAAATGTTCGAGTTAAAAGATGATTATATGTAATAAGTATTAAAGTTTTTGTATGTTTTCTAAAAGTTTATTATTTAAATAAAAAATGTTGTTATAAAAGTGTGAACACGATTTAAGCCAATTAATATTTTTTAATTATTAGTAAGATTGCAAATGTATGATATGTTATGTAAGCTATGTTTTAAAATTAATAAAGGTTGTTTTATTTGTATTGTATTTTTTATCTATATAATATAATAATTTTATATTGTAATACTTATGGGCTTTGTACTTATTTTTTTTTTAATATTTGGTCACCATAGTTATAAATCCATTGAAGTTTCGTGTTTTACAGCGTTTTGGGATGAGAAACAAAGGATTTTAAACGATTATCGTAGAATAATTTCAAATGAAAATAATAATACTTTAAGCGTTTGCGTTTAAGCGTGTGTTAATATTAATTTCACGAAACGTTAACGACGTTATGATTTTGCATTAATGGATTTAAAGTGCAGTTTTGCACTTTTTGCACATCTTCGTCATGCAGTATACCTTACGCTTCATTTCTAATCCAGTATGACATTACTTATGGTCGACCGAATCATTATTGATGTCAATACTCCTCACTATTATTAGTATTCAATTTATATTGCTATTGAAATTATTATTAATATTACTGTTAGACATACTCAGTTTAATTGTCCGCTTGAACGAATCGCAAAGATAAATAATGTTGTTTTTCTGTTCGAATTTCGATCACCGAGCGATACTGGTGGCAACCATAA